CCTTCCTTCTGCTCACTCTGGGGTTTTCTTGTTGCTCTCTTTCTAATTCTTTGAGTTGTAGAGTTAGATGATTTACTACCATTTTTTCTTGTTTTTTGAGATAGGCCTGTAGAGCTATAAACTTCCCTCTCAGGACTGCTTTCATTGTGTCCCATAGGTTTTGGATTGTTGTGTTTTCATTGTCATTAGTTTCCAGGATGCTTTTAATTTCTTCTTTGATCTCATTGGTAACCCAATCAATATTTAATTACATGCTATTCAGCTTCCAAGTGTTTGAGTATTTTGGGTTGTTTTTATTGTAGTTTATTTATAATATTATGCCATCGTGGTCTGAGAAGATGCTTTTTATGATTTCAATCTTCTTGAATTTGGGGAGACTTTGCTTGTGACCCAATATGTGGTCTATTTTTGAATCTGCCCCATGAGCACTTGAGTAGAATGTATATTCCGTGGCTTTGGGGTAAAGTGTTCTGAAGATGTCTATTAAGTCCATCTGATCTAGTGAGTCATTTAGGATTGCTTTTTCTTTGCTGATTGTTTGTCTAGAGGACTTATCCAGTGATGTCAGTGGTGTATTAAAGTCCCCTACTATGATTGTATTGTTGTTGATCTCTCCTTTGATATCTTCCAGGAGTTTTTTTATGATTTTGGGTGCTCCTGCATTGGGTGCATATATGTTTACCAGGGTTATATCTTCTTATTGTATTGATCCCTTTAGTATTATGAAGTGGCCTTCCTTATCTCTTGTTATGGCCTTCACTTTGAGGTCTATTTTGTCCAATATAAGTATTGCTACCCCAGCTTTCTTTTCCTTTCCATTTGCCTGAAAGATATTTTTCCATCCCTTCACTTTCAGTCTGTGTGAGTCCCTTCTAATGAGGTGGGTCTCTTGTAGACAGCAGATGTATGGGTCATTTTTTTTTTATCCATTCAGCCACTCGATGTCTTTTGGTTGGAGCATTTAGTCCGTTTATGTTTAAAGTTATTATTGAAAGGTACTTGTTTGTAGCCTTTTCTTTTTTTGTGTGGCTGTTTCCTTTCTGAGCTTTTTATTTCTTCTTTTTACACCAGTCCCTTTAGCATTTCTTGCATTGCTGGCTTGGTGGTGATAAACTCCCTTAGCCTTGTTTTGTCTGTGAAGCTTCTTATTTCCCCTTCAATTTTGAATGATAGCCTTGCTGGATAGAGTACTCTTGGATTCAGTCCTTTGCTTTGCATCACTTTGTAAATTTCTGTCCATTCTTTTCTGGCCTGATGTGTTTCTGTTGAGAAATCATTTGATAATCTAATGGGAGATCCCTTGTATGTAACTTTCCGTCTCTCTCTTGCAGCCTGTAAGATTCTCTCTTTGTCCTGAACATTTGCCATGGTAATTATGATGTGTCTTGGTGTGGGTCTTTTCAGGTTCACCTTGTTTGGGACTCTCTGAGCTTGTGTGACTTTTTTCTTCCCCACCTCAGGGAAGTTTTCTGATATTATTTTTTTGAATAGGTTTTCTAATCCTTGTTCATCCTTCTGTTGTTCTGGCACCCCTATTATTCGTATGTTGTTTCGTTTCATGTTGTTCCAAAGCTCCCTTAGGCTCTTCTGTGTTTTAATTTTTTTCTCCAATTGCAGTACAGTTTGGGTGTGTTTTGCTTCCTTGTCGTCTAATTCACTAATTCGGTCCTCCGCTTCTCCTAGTCTACTGTTGATACTGTCAATGGTGTTTTTTATTGCAGCTATATCGCTCTTCATTTCTTCTTGGGTCTTACTTAAGTTGTTGATTTTTTTCATCTGTTTCTTCTAGCTTCTTGCATATGTTATTTATTTTTTCCTCCATCCGGTTTATGCACTCTAGGACCCTTATTCTGAATTCTTTTTCTGTCATGTTGCATGCCTGTGTATCACTTAGCTGCTTTTCTGGCGCATTCTCCTTTTCTTTCCTTTGGGGGTTTCTTTGTCTACCCATGTTTGATCTCACTGACATATCTAGACGTTGAGTCGTTCAGTGGCTGCTCCCTGGGTGGCAGTGGCTCCTTGGGCTGTGGTTGCTCTTCGGGCGGTTGCGGTAGCAGCTGCTCCTCAGTTGGCAGCAGCTCCTCTGGTGGGTGCTGCTCACAGCTGTGGTGGCTCTTCTGGCTGGTGGGGGGAGGCTTCACATACAGCTGCTGTTCCTCAGACAGAGGGTGTGGTGCTCAGGAGGCTGCTGTTGCTTGGATCTGCTGAGGCACAGCCGTTAACCTTTGTGGTGTGAGCCATGCTGGCTTGAGTCCAACGACAGGTCTAGAAAGGAGTGAGGAGTCATGCAAATTTATGCACCAAGTTCCCAAATGCATTCAACCTCAGTTATGTAAGGCCAGAAATTACTGCAATAAATATTTCAATTCCATGGACAATTTCCTCGTGTGGTCAAAAGATGGAAGGACTTCAGTAGTTCAGCAGTCTGTCCAGTAGTATAGTGACAATCATTCTTTAGGAGACCTTCTTGAGAACAATGGTAGGTTCAGAGAAGATAAAGTTCAACAGCTCACCGTTCCACAGTCCCGTAATTAATCTCGAACTCCGCGCGCTCCTCCCGTCCTGCCAAGCCAGGCGCACCCCTTTTTCTAATTGCTTATACTAATTACTAGTTTTATTTTCATAAACTGCAGCTCAATGAACTTAAGTCCCTAAAGAAAAATCTAGATAGATTTCTTTGGCCTACCAGTAAAATCCAAATTTTTCTTGCAAGCAGTCAAGGCCTTCCCTTAATACAGATGCAATATAACATTAGTCTTAGCCCACACTCCTACATATTATTTATAATTCAAACCATAAGTTTCAATATTACCTAAATATGCCTTACACGCCACTCCTACCTTCATGTATTTTGTTCAGTGTTCACCCTGGGCAAATCCTCCTACAATCTCTACCTATTAAAACCCACTTTAACACTTCAAGACCTCTCCACAGAACTTAATCACCCTTTCTTTTAAATCTTTACAATACTCTACTTGTAATTCTTCCATGGCACTTATAATACATTGTGTGTTTTTTCAGTTTATATCATACATTCACCAATATTCAATGAACATCTATTATGAGCCAGCAATATGGTAAATATTAGCTGTCAGGGGGAAAAAGGGTCAATGAATATACAAAAGTGGCCACTCTCACAGAACCTGTAATCTAGCATAGCAGAATATCGTTACTTAATCCATGCTTTTATCCCCACCCTGCTCCTCAAAGACATTTACAAATCATTAAAGCCAAAAATTGCAATTCTGAATTTTCCACAGTACCATCACAGGACAGTACATACATTTAATACAACATTTCATTGAACTGAACTGAAATATACCTTGTGGAAAGTTATAACCAAAACATACATAATGTAGGCTAAGAAACTAGGGGCCTAAAAAGTAAGTTGATATCTGAAAATCAAATAATTTATGCACATGCCAAATATATCTTAGAATGCTTTCTGACACTGATATGCACATGGAAAATACAACTGTTTTTTTCAACAAAAAACTGACTAAAATGCTATTTCTAAAATGTCATCATTATAGTATCAATTATGACATTTACTTTAAAGAAAATACAATATTGCGGAAGGTATAAACTTCAACTTTATATGTCAAATAGGAACTTATATTTAATTTTTAAAAACAAGTTTATATAGATGTAGAAAATGGAAAAATATGTTAACTTCCACTTTTAGTTGTCTACTAAAACAACTTTATGACAATAACTAACCTAAGATCAAAGTTCTTATGACTCTTTAATTGGCTAGAAAGGAAAACAGAGTCAAAGCCAGAAGAAAACAATTGCCAAAAAAAACCTCCATTTAACTCAGAAAAAATGATAGGTAATTTACCCATAATGAGCAATTGGATACAAAATGAATTTAAATATTCTATCATGATATAGGCCATTCTTACAACAAATTTCTTTCACCTTTATTTTGAAGATGTTTAAACCTTGAAAATGGTTCCTAGAAGCACTGACCACATGGATTTTTGCAGTAATCATGTACTGATTATATATATTACATGTAACAATATATTTGTAATTAAGTAGTCAGTACATCATATATATATATATTTATTACATAAAGTTATATGTAATAGTATAATTTACTGATTATATATAAAAGATAGGACTTGGCTAATTCAGAAATATAAGCTTTCAAAAGATCAAAGAGAATCATCCCAGTTTTAGTTGATCTTTTCTACAAACAAAATCTGAAAATTTACAAGTTTCAGAAGTGAATGATAACTGCTAAAAATAAAAGGTAAAATTCAATAAAACAATAACTGCTAGATACAATTATAAAACTATAACACCATCTTAAGAGTTTTAATATATAAATAACACAGCTATTAACTCACAAAACAAATAAGAGGCTATAAGCCAGTGATGGCGAACCTTTTGAGCTTGGTGTGTCAGCATTTTGAAAAACCCTAACTTAACTCTGGTGCCGTGTCACACATAGAAATTTTTTAATATATGCAACCATAGTAAAACAAAGACTTATATTTTTGATATTTATTTTATATATTTAAATGCCATTTAACAAAGAAAAATCAACCAAAAATAAATGAGTTTGAGCGTCACCTCTGACACACGTGTCATAGGTTCTCCATCACTGCTATAAGCAAAGTATAACTATAAAGAATAATCCAACTATAGTAGTTTCAGAATAGTAATGGTTTAACATAATGACCCTGATATATTCTCAATAAACATTATGGCAAAAAATAATAATTTAAAATAATGCAAAGGTCTACTAAAACAATTATAGTGGTTAGGCAGGGGTGGGCAAACTTTTTGACTCGAGGGCCACAATGGGTTCTTAAACTGGACCGGAGGGCCGGAACAAAAGCATGGATGGAGTGTTTGTGTGAACTAATATAAATTCAAAGTAAACATCATTACATAAAAGGGTACGGTCTTTTTTTTTTAGTTTTATTCATTTCAAACGGGCCGGATCCGGCCCACGGCTGGGTTAGAGTATTTCCTATTGTAATACCAACCTGTTCCAATTCTTGTATTTTAGCATCCTTGACTTGCAGAATTTCTAAAACTTTTCTGTCTTTAGCTTCAGAGTTCTTTTTTTCTCTAGAAATAAATATATATATATATATATATATACACATTGAGAGTTTATTAGTCATAACTGGTAGCTGATCCTTTAGAATTTCACATCCTGATAATGAGTGTCACTTTGAAATACAAAAAATTAAGGTATCTGGAGTTGACAGCCCAGTCAGAAACCATATGGCAAGTGACAACAACTTAGAACTGCTCGCAACTAAAACAACTTCATATTAAATAATTTAGTTACAGATTTAGATACATGATAAGAATATTTGAAACATGTGTAATCTTTATTGAATTACCCATTGTATTATAAAGTTAAAATAATATATAAATATATCTTAACAAACATTTTATATAGAGAATTATATTAAGAATAAAATATTGGACATTTCAAAGATGGAGGCAGAGTAGGTGGATCTTTCTTGCACTTCCTTTCAGAACCAAACTGGAAATAAAACTAAAGTGGGGACCATTCACCCTGAATTACCAACTGAAGATTAGCTGAAGAGGAGACTTTTAACAAGGAAGGGCACAGACCACCTCGAGATAGGTAGGAGAAGGGCAGGGCCAGCTCCCACAGGAGGCAAGCAGCAGCCCATAGCATCAGAGAATAGCAGTCCATATAACATCCAGCTGTGAAAGGCAGTGGAGCTTCTATCAGGGAGAGTCAGTGCTGTTTGTTTGTTTAAACAAAAAGCAAAGCACAGGGTTTTCGTTTGCAGGCACTTACCCAAGGCTCCTGTGGAGGGAGAGAGGTACAGACTGAAATCCCCTGTGGAGATTCTGAAGTGGATGGCATTGGGGGAGAGGTGGAAGAGCAGAGCAGTATGCCTGAGCTTGGTCACCATCCCCACACATACCGCAGCAGGTGAGTTTTACCACACATTCAAAGAACTAACACCTATCCTCAAACTAATCCAAAAATTCAAGAGGAAGGAAGACTTCCAAGCTCTTTTTGAAAGGCCAGCATTATCCTAATTTCAAAGCCAGATAAAGACACTACAAAGAAAGAATATCACAAGCCAATATCTCTGATGAATAAAGATGCTAAAATGCTCAACAAAATATCAACAAATCTATACATTAAAAAGGTCATATATCCTAAACACAGGGAAAAATAAACAATTGGAACTACACCAACTAAAAAGCTTCTGCACAGCAAAAGAAAACACCATCACAATGTAAAGAGAACCCACTGTATGGGAGAATATATTTGCCAATGATACATCTGATAAGGGGTTAGTTTTCAAAATATATAAGAACTCATATAGCTCAACACTATGAAGACAATCCAATTTAAAAACTAGGCAAAGGACTCGAATAGACACCTCTCCAAAGTGGATATACAAATGGCCAATAGACATTTTTTTAAAAATATGTTTAATGTCATTAGTCATCAGAGAGATGCAAATTAAAACAACAATGATGTTGCCCTAGCAGGTTTAGCTCAGTGATAGAGTGTCTGCTTGCAAACTGAAAGGTCCCAGGTTCAACTCCAGTCAAGGGCACATGCCAGGGTTGTGAGCTCAATCCCCAGTAAGGGGCGTGCAGGAGGCAGCTGATCAATGATTCTCATTATTGATGTTTCTATCTCTCTCTCCCTCTCCCTTCTCCTCTGAAATCAATAAATATATATTTAAAAAAAAAAACAAATATCTCTTTTTTTAAAAAAAACGATACCAACAACAGTGAGGTATCATCTCAACACCAGAATGGCTACTATCAACAAATCAACAAATGACAAGTGCTGGTGATGATGTGGAGAAAAGGGAACCCTAGGTCACTGCTGTTGGGAATGCAAGCTGGTGCAATCACTGGGAAAAAATATGGAGTTTCCTCAAAAATTAAAAATGGAACTGCCATTTGACCCAGCAATCCCACTTCTGGGAATATATCCTAAGAAACCTAAAAGACCAATCAGAAAGAATAATCCCTATGTTCATAGAAGAATTATTTACAACTAGAGGCCTGGTGCACGAATTCATACATCAGTGAGGTCCATCGGCCTGGCCTTCAGGATAGGGTCAAAACCGGCTCTCCTACATCCCCGGAGGGGTCCCAGATTGCAAGAGGGTGCAGGCCAGGCCAAGGGACCCCACTGGTGCACAATCGGAGCCGGGGAAAGACATGGGAGGTTGGCCAGACTAGGAGGGGTTGCAAGAGGGCTCCAGGGCATGTCTGGCCCATCTTGCTCAGTCCCAATCGGCAGGACTCCAGCAGCAATCTAACCTACTGGTCAGAACGTTTGCCCCCTGGTGGTCAGTGGACGTCATAGCGACTGGTCGACCTGTCAACTGTCTGCCACATCATAGTGAACAGCTGAGTGGCCTTAGCATATTATTAGCATATTACACTTTGATTGGTTGAATAGATGAATAGATAACCGGATACTTAGCATATTAGACTTTTATTATATAGGATAACTAAGATCTGGAAATAGCTCAAAGGCCCATCAGAAGATAAGTGGATAAAAAAGCTGTGGTATATTTACACAATGGAATATATGGAGCTATAAAAAAAGGATTTCTTAACCCTCCTTCCCCTCTCTCTTACAAATCAATGAATTAAAAAAAAAATTAAGGAGAAACAGCCACATTTCTGAGGATCACAAACTAAACAGAAATATAATGCTATGGATGTGGATGATGCAGTCTAAGGTGGAAAAGAGCTTGGCTCCTGGGAATAGTAGGAAATACTTGTCCTGCTCAATATGTAAAGTCATAGCCAGGCTCATTGTTTGAAACCAGAGAGTGGGGTGGGGCTCCCAACTCCTAAAAGAGGACTGAAAAAATGTCCACTCATCCTTGCCTGACTCTAAATCTTTTTTTTTTTTTTAATATATTTTATTGATTTTTTACAGAGAGGAAGGGAGAGAGATAGACAGTTAGAAACATCGATGAGAGAGAAACATCGATCAGCTGCCTCCTGCACATCTCCTACTGGGGATATGCCCACAACCCAGGTACATGCCCTTGACTGGAATCGAACCTGGGACCTTTCAGTCCGCAGGCCGATGCTCTATCCACTGAGCCAAACCGGTTTCGGCTTGACTCTAAATCTTATGTATATGAAAGTCTAAAATGGCAGAAGTTTACAGATATAGCATCCTAATCAAGAGCTAAGCCAAAACACCCTTGGCTCAGGTACTAATTAGAGCAAATCCTCTCACTGTTAGCTAAGAGTCACAAACTACCAATAGAAATCCTGTTTCAGGATGGAAGAATGAGGTGAGGGTAACAATTTAGTGGCAAGCATAAATTTTCTAGAGAGAAAATGGCATTAGACAAGAAGGAGTAGTGAGAAAAGAGGAGGAAGAGAACAATAAGAGCAAAAAGTCCAAATACATGAAGAAAACACACTCTCTACACCCACCCACACACACACAACACAAGCAAACAGTGACTCAATAATCTGAAAAAATCAAACTCTAGACAAAATGAAAATAACAAAACACATTGAAAAAGACTTTGAAATAAGTAAGGATCTTTCAAGATATAAAAGAGTGACTAAAATTAAAACAAAAAACCATAAGTAAAACAATAGGTGGATCTAAAAAATCATGAAAATATATAAAGCACTAAATAAATAAAAAACAATTAAATGGGCTGAGCTCAAAACTAGATACAAAAAGGCATTTAGTGAAATGGAGACTATTAATGAGGAATTCACCCAGAACAATGAATATAAAAAAAATTTAAGTCATGCGGGTTTTACTAGGAAACTCCGACATATATCTAAAGAGTTTCAAAAATAGGTAACAGTGGGATAAAATATAAAGCAAAATAAAGCAAGAGGCTGCCTTCATGAAATAAACATTTTAGTTCATACCTATTAAAACAAGTGATAAATAAGTGAACTTAAAGTATGCCAACTGGCTATCCTATCTAATAAAAGAGAAACATGCAAATTGACCATAACCCCAACACCCTTCCCATTGGCTAGTCAGCAGGATATGCAAATTAACTGCCAACCAAGATGGCAGCCAGCAGCCACGCAGCTGAAGCGAACAGGAGACTTGCTTGCTCCAGTGATGGAGGAAGCTAACATTCCTGGCCTGCTGCTGCCAGCTTCTGAGCTGCACTCTAAGCAACTATGTTGCAATTATAGAAGCTAAACAAGCTCCAGAGACCTGCTTTCAGCCAGCATCGGCCTCAGAGCTTAGAGCTGTTGTGATGGCAACAGAGTTTCAATTATAGAAGCCAAACAGACCCAGAAACCCGCTTTCAGCCCTCAGAGCTGGAGCTGGCTCTCAGCTCCAGTGACAGCTATATAAGGTAAATAAATCCCAGAATAACAAAAAAAGAAAAAAAGGAGAGGCTGGGAGCTTAAGTTGCCCTCCAGCCTGAAAATGGCTCTCAGGTCCTCACCCAGACTGGCCAGGCACCCCAGTGGGGAACCCCACCCTGAAGGGGGAGCGACCAGCTGCAAACAACCTTCAGCCCATCATCCAGGCTGGCCAGGCACCCCAGTAGGGACCCCCACCCTGAAGGGGGTGTGACCAGCTGCAAACAGCTTTCAGCCTGTCATCCAGGCTGGCCAGGCACTCAAGCAGGACCCCCACCCTGATCCGGGACACTTTCAGGGCAAACCAGCCGGCCCCCAACCGTGCACCTGGCCTCTATCCTATACTACAGGCAGGGCGGGACAGCACGAGCTGACATCCGGGCCCCATGTGCAGTCCTGGGAAGTGGGGCATAAGCCCTGCCCCCAGCCGGGACCCCCGTGCCACCTAAGCCCCTCACTGCTAAGCCCCGCCTCCAGCCAGGACCCTATGACTATTGGAGAGCAGTAAATTGCCACTGGGCCCTGGGTCGCTGTGGTGATCCGTCCATTCAGTAAGTAGAAAAGTGTGGCCTGTAGGCAGCCCCCAGTTGCGCCTGATCTGGGAGCAGGAAAGCAAGCCCGGCCTGAGGGCAGCCCCCAGCTGTGCCTTCTCCCAGGTCACCATGAAGATCCGGGAGCAGGAAAGCAAGCCTGGACTGTGGGCAGCCCCAAACTTTGCCTGCTCCCCAGTTGCC